ATTTCCCGTTCCCAAAGGTACAGTTGCTATTGGTGGTGGATTGGACAATTTCAGATCAGAAACCACCCCAAGAAGCCAGCCAGCTGTACCATCTCCACCAGCAACCTATGCATAACAGTCTAAAATTAATTGTTTCACCAGAAAATATAGATTTCGCATGCATTAATTTCAATACGCACCACAAAAACGATATGAAAAGGCCATGTTTTCTTAAAGCACCACTCACAATTATTCGCAGCTTCTTCTCAAGTTTAGTCGCAAATTCGTCACAATTGTTCTTCAACCGTTCAAGATTGAGAAAAATTCTACGGAGTACACTATCAGGGCCTTCTGATCCTAAATCAAAAACCTGAAAAAACAATGGAGTCAGTGCATGAACAAAGGATTTCGATATATTAATGAAACTAGACTAAACTTAAAATCCTTCGAAACATCCACAGCAATATAGCGAACCAGTACCTATATATCTAGAGGGTTTAAGAATCTACATTCATATAATAAATTAGGGCAAAGCCACCAGAATTGAGATCCACAAAAGTAAGATTCATCAAGAAATATAGACTTCGTGCACCAAAGAAATCTCGAAATGGTATAAACCAAATTCACCTGTTTCTCGTTCAGTATAGACCGATATGTGATAAGAAGATCACCACCTAATTGACCACCACTTCTTGAATCGATAAAGACCAAAACAGGGCATTCGGGTGCATGGGGCAAAGACTGAACAGTTTCTTCCGGAACAAGGATATAGCTCGGGATGTGAAATTGCCTCACAAAGTTCTCAGAATCAATACTCAAACCCGCCATTCCTAACTCCATGTCAGCAACTGTAATACGGACCAAATGAGTAGTGGCCACCATGAATTTAGTTACATGCATAAACAATAAAGAATGCATGCTGAGTTCCAATCAGTAAAAGCAAAACAAACAAAATCTCTATATTCAATGAATCAACAACGACAATATCTATTTACATATTTCATCATCGTTCAACATATTCAACAGCTCTATCATGTCTCACACACTTGACCAAATGTTGGGGCTTAAAATAAGCTTGACGCATCCGAACATCAAACGCGAATGAATTCGCAACACCACCACGTGCACCAAAAACTATTCCACCTCATACTCAAATATTCACCAATAGAACAACAATGCCAGACTTCTCCAGCCAAATTGAAACAACAAGCAGCATGTCGACGACGAATAAGCTAATATCTATCCGTTAAAATCAAAACGCTTTTAGCATCTTTGAGCGACAAAGTACAGTGTGAAATTCCTTTTAATTAACCTACTTTTTACCTTGTTAGCTACAAATATTATTGAGCTTACAAATATTTTTACAAATATTATAGAACTTTGAAAACAAAACTGAATCCTCCTTCCCCAAGAATATGGTCTGATCTAACGTTTATTGTTGCTTTCTCAATTGTTCAAATGTGAAGGCTTTGATGTGTGGTGATGATAGAACTTCAGCTTCCGATTTTGGGTGAATTAAATCTGCTGCATCACGAACCCAATTTAAGGTGAAGTTATCCTTTACTCAAAAAGGCCAAATTGGGGCTTTTACACGGTTATGTACATACAATTTCTGTGTAATTTTTCCTTGATCATAATCAATGGAACCTAAACAGATTTATATATTTTGAACACAGAAAAGCAGTGAAACTTGGTATTTTGTGTTGTTGATTGGGTAAAAAGGTTTATCTGTTCAATTAGCAAAGGGCTTTTGATTTGTAGACGTGCGTAATATTTTGGTATTTTGTGTTGTTGATTGGGTATAAATTATGTCAGAATATAATAATAATAATAATAAAAAAATTAAAATAAAAAAGAATTACCAGATAAAGAAGCAGAACTGAAACGCGAGCTGTAATCGGTGGAAAAAGAGCTACTTAAGCTGTCACACACTGCAATTTCTCTGAGCTTCTCTCTGTTAAGAACGCCGGCAACGAGCTTCCCCCAGTTATCGTACACCCTTGACATCTTTAATTAATTATTTTAACCTATAATTAATTCAAAATAATCTATTAGAATTGGCGATAAATTCGCCAATGGAGGCGTTCAGATCTCGAAGGTGTTGAATGTTGATGACAACGGAGAAAAAAAAAAAGCATGAAAATTTTGGTGTTGAAATGACTCAAGAATCTTCTTTTTTTTTGTCAAGAATCTTCTTCTTTTTTTTTTTTGTGAATAAACAAGGGGGTGTCTATATGTACACCCCCTTGTGTGTAAAAAAGGGGTGTACATATAGCATTGCCCTTTGTGTAATTTATTAAAAGGGGGTGTACATATAGCATTGCCCATAAACAATTATGTTTATTGTTAAAAAAATTCTTACAAGTTGTGTCAATAGTCCAGTCAAAGATCAAGAAACTTCTTTTTTTTTGTCAATAAACAATTCTGTTTATTGTTTGACACTAATTTTTTTTATAATAAAAAAGTTGTTCCACTATTGAATAATGACGAAAAAGTGATAAAATATGGACCTAAATAAGTCACAACTCACAAGCCTCTAGAAAAAATTAAAAAAAAAAAAAAAAAAAAAAAAAAAAAAAAAAAAAAAAAAAAAAAAAAAAAAAAACAAAACAGTGAGCAATCGAAAACTCAACATAACATGACTACCCTTATAGAAACCACAGTCGTTGGGCCGCCGCCGGTGCCGGGCCCGGCTGCCCACCGGACTTTGCCGCTCACCTTCCTCGACCGGCTCCATTTCCACCCGATTTGCCGCATTTTCTTCTAAGATTTCCCCTTTCCCAAGTCGCATTTCCTCGAAAACTTCGTACCGAAGCTCAAACACTCGCTCTCGTTAGCTCTCGAGCTCTACTTCCCGCTCGTCGGGACTTTGATCTACCCTTAGGACACCGAAAACTACAAACCCACCATCCGTTACTCGCCCGGCGACTCGGTCCAATTCTCGATTTACGAGTCGTCGGTCGGCGGAGAAATTTTCGACTCGCTCGTCGGTAACCAACCGCGAGACGCCGATGCGTTTTACGATTATACCCCTCAACTTCCACCGGTCATAACCGAGCCCGACTGCAAGCTTATCCGATTGCTCGCGGTCCAAGTAACCCTCTTCCCGGGCCGCGGCGTGTGCGTCGGCGTAACCAACCACCACTCGGCCGACGATGCGAGCTCGATCGTGGGCTTCGTTCGGGCTTGGGCCTCGGCGTGCAGATCCGGTTCTCTCGAGAATGCTCGTCCGGTTTTTGACAGGGGCTTGATCGTTGACCCGTCGGGAAGATTGGAATCGGCTTATTGGGACCAAATGAAGCGAGTCCCGTTGACTCTTTCGCCATTTCCCCTGCCCACGAACAGGGTTCGGGCCACGTACATTTTTTACCGGGCCCGAATCGAGAAGCTCAAGGACTCGGTGGTGGCGAATTTGGGATTTATGGGGCTCGACCGCCCGTCATCATTCGTGGCGGCCTCGGCTCACGTGTGGACGTGCC